CTAAACATACCAGGAAACTGTTGTGATAGAAGAAAACAGTGAAAACAATGCCCGGCACCAACACATTAATGTGAGAAAACAGAGGCATGAAGTGACTCACTGAAATAAAATCATCTAAGGGAGCAAAATTCAATTTTTTAGACTACTTTGCTGATGTCCAAGCCACCAGACCTTTCTGAGTTCCCAAATGTGTCCTGATCTTCTACAAATTCTTCCTGCTGCACCCTTGAAATTTAGACAAGCAAATCTGAAAATTTTGTCTTACTGAGCTCTGAGTAAAGATGTATTTCTCTCCCTGCATCTCTCCCTTTCCTACAGGGACCTTAGCAAGAACTTTATGAATCACAGAAGAAAAGAAACCATCACCTGAACTGGCTCATGCCTATTCCTGTGCTCCCGCTCCAGGACTCCAGAGCACACTCTAGACACAGGTTTTAGATGAGCTGCTGCCTGGCAAAAATATCAGAACCCTGTTACATTTTTACACAGCTGAAGTATCCACAGAGCCTGTCTTCTTGCAGAGTTCTGTTCAGTCTCTTTGATAAAGATCTAGTGCAGCCTGCTACTTACAGAAGAAAGAAGTAAAGCTGCATTCACTTGGCAGCACGAGACCACAGCTCCTTTCTCAGGACAGCTCTGACAACACACTCTGTGTCTTTGGAGTCCATCCCAACTTGTTTCCCTCTTTTTATCTTCTCTTTCTAGAGTTATATTCAATTGACAGAAATTTTCAAATCTTTCCACTGTTCTGTTTTCCTCCTTGAGAACTGCACAAGGCATTTTTCAAGTGTCAAAATTAAATTAAAGATTCTATTCCTAGGACTAGATTTCAATATGAATGTATTACAGAGACTTCCAAATTACAAACAGCATTGGAGGATATAAAAATCTAGCTGTGTAGAGTGGTATTTTTTAGCATTTAGGTTGTTATCTCTCACTGGAATTCAGTATGACTAAATTCTTTTGAACCGTCTCAAAATGATAAACCATAGAATATAGTATTTATCTATGAAAATACATAAAGATTAGACACAACCCCTTTTAAGACCACAGTGGCATCTGTGACCTCTTACAGATTTTTATAGTTATTTATTCAGTTGACAGTGTGTATTTGGAGTGTATACACAGCATGAGGAGTAGATCTCATGAGTGATACAACTTTGTTCTGAGGACTAAGGAAATGTAATACTGGAAGTTCTCCATGAACTGTCTGAAAAGGTTTTCCCCAAAGGTTTTTTGGGGGGGGAGCAAAACAGAGAAATGTGTACATGCAGTTTGGGTTCAGCAAAGACCAAATCTATATTGCCTTTTCTATTTCAAGGTTTCTTATTTATTTAGAAACCTAATTTCTCAACCTCTAGTTTGCATGCCTTTGACAACTTTCATTCACACCATATGCAAATACTAAATGTGTTACTGTTAGGAGTAACACGAGATGATTTATTATTCATTGAATCAGATGAATCTGCTAATTCCAGAAGACTCTAGTTTTGAATTCTATCAATATTTGCATTACCAGTAACTGGAGTCAGCTAAGCATGTAGCTGGTTCAGTTTTATGGAGGGCTATTAGAGGGGGTTTAGTTTTGCATATTGAATGTAGACTCCTTTGAGATCTCTAAGGAGACTGCTGACTTTCTGCTCTTCCCTTGGCCACTTCTGGCCACTGCTGGAGGCAGGATCCTGAGCTGGAGGGACCCCCAGTCTGACTCCATGGAGCTTATTAAACATTACACAGGTATTTTATGTACAAAGAGCAGACAAAAGTCATTTACACTCTGTATTAGCTGGGCTCTGCTTCACACTGAATATCCCCCATTTTCCGAAGCAAGACTGTAGTTAGACAAGAATTGTTAAATAGCTAAATTAGTTGAAAATATAAAGTGAATTTGAAAATATAAAGTGAATCACTGTCACCTCTCCAAGCACAGCACTTTTATGTAGGCTTAGAAATATTTTCTGCTTATATTTTTGCTAAACTCAGAAAAGCATAAAGCAGTTGTAGCTGAGGCAATGCCATGAGAAGCACTCCCAGAGCAGTAGGAGCGTGCACAAGGAGCTGGAGCCAGGCTCAGGGGGCTGCTGGAAGCAGCACAGCCACAACCCGAGGGGATCGGCTACACCCTTGAATGCGCCACTGCCTCTCCATAAACACCCATTGTGCTCTTTCAATTAACAACACATCTCAAAGCTGAAAACCATGAATGTGTACGCTTGGAACATTTAATTTGGGAAATTGGGAAAGCGTGCTCATCTCCTGTGGCTCCTTTTTCTCGATGTTATTCCTTAATAAGGCCTCAGCATTTCACAGCCACTGAAGAATTCAAAGAATGCCTATAACCAAGATACCACCCTGATAATTAAAACTAAATCCTTGTTCTGAAAGAATTCTGTAGCAAATCTCAAGTCTTACACTCAGAAACTTCTTTTCAAGCCAAAATATTACACTTTTTGTTTTCTAGGCGATGTCTCAGACCTTTTTTTTTCTTTTATCACTCCTCCCCAATAATTACTCCATCACAATGAAACTGTATTATTATTCTTTCATAACTTACAAACTCCAGTTCCCAAGTTTTGGTCTCAAGGGTTTGTTCTCTGCTTGCTGGGTTGCTTTTAGAGTATGGCTATACCTGTATTTATCACAAGGGAGAGAAAAGGAAAAGGGAGGAAGGGAAGAAATTATAAAGGGAATGGTGGATGAAATGAATTGCTGGACTTATGTTCTCTTCGGGCAAGGAAGATCAATCACTGAAAAAAATGGAGAAAACCCATCAAGAATAGCTCCCACACACTTCACCTACTTGAAATGTACATATTTTCCATGATTTTTCTATTTTTCTGGACAGACAGATGAAAACCGAAGCTCTGGGAGTTGTCACACACAAAGACTCTGATCTGGAATTCTGTTTAGCACCCCAGGACAGGCAGGAAGTCAAGAAAGCCTTTTGGCTACCAGCAGTGAAAATGCTGATGCATTCACACAGAGAAACAAATGTGGGCACAACATCTACACATAAATATTTCAAGAAACCTGCCTCCTCAATTCAAAAAGCTAAGCCTTGCCTCACTATTAATGTTAGAGGGAGAAACTTATTAAATTCGTCATAAAACCCCATTTCCCTGAATACAGCCACCAAGTGAATTTCCCTGAATACCCCATCAAAAAAGAGATTAAATCACACTTACAGTCATTGATCACTGTATGAAATATTACATTTGTACCCTCAGTCTTGTATTGAAGCACCTGACACTGCTTATAGGCACAATTTGTGAATTTTATGCCTATCTGAATACAAAGGGTGTCTGTAAAGGAAAATAAATTGATAAACACAGTCATATCAGAATTCTTCAGTTCTCTGGATTGCCACCAAAAGTTTCAATTTTCAAAGCTTCTCCAAGCTTGTTTGGCTATAAGACTTCACAGAAGGGGAAGAGTTTGTGAAATAACTAAGCCTGGAGCTCAGAAACTACATCTCATTTCAAAAATGTCTGAAATGCTCTCATTTAACTGTTTCTGAAATGAAATACAGCAGACTTCCAGGGCTGCAACATCATCTCTTCATTTGCAATGCAAAGTTTTACAAAAGCTTAATGGAATTTAAGCTGTTTTTTTTTGGTTTGTGTTTTTTTTGCTTTTAAATCCAGAGAATCATCCTTCTAGATTCTCAGAGACTGGCCCTGGCAATGAAAAAGGAGGCTGAAGTACTTAATTTTTGTTAGATACCATATCTTAGAGCAGTGTAAGACAGAGGATCACCCTGGAACTTGCTGCTCATCACCTCAGTAAAAAATAGTCTGCAGCACTGCTGTTTCACAGACATTGACATGATCTTTCCAAATGTAACAAATTGCTTTACCTTATGGGACTGTGGCATTTCAAAATATGCCCATTTGCTTTCTTGCATCAAAATAAAAAATGTCTAGTGTATTGTTACACCTTTTCAGTAGGATTATTAAGATCTAACAATATAGCTGATGAAATTACTTCTTTGCTTGCTAGCAATTAATGTTGAAACAGCACAAGATGTAAGAGAAGGAAATACATACAGCTTAAGAGTCATTTTCCTGTGCTATAAAATGCAGAACTCTCTCTGCTGTCTTACCTTTATCACAGTGCTGTGGGTGACAACGCTGTAAAATATGAGGAATTTTTGTTGTTGTTTGTAAGGGTTTTTTTTGCTTTGGTTTTTTAGTTGGTTGGTTTATTTGGGTTTTGTTTGTTTTAATTTGGATTTTTGCTGGTTTGGTTTGGGTCACCATGTTTTCAAACTGGTTTGTGCAGACTGAGAGTACTGAGATTCCAATAAAACAAGAGTTTGAAAAATGAATTTCAGTTTCAATTATCTCTGGTTTCTCAGGCTTGAGAGCCATCTCTGCAACCTATGAAGCTGTTTCGTACCATCACGAGATTTGTGATCTAAATTCAAACCAGGAGCTCTAAAAAGCAGAGAGATGCAGCCAAGCTCTAAAAAGCCAAGATTAGCTACACTTTTGTTTAAAAAGAACATTAAATTCTGCACCTGAAAAGCACAACTGGGCTCCATATGAACTCCCTTGGAGTAAAGACCCAGTTTTGCTCACTCTTGTTCTGTTAAACGGAACCGTGAGTAATTCAAACGTTTCATTTATTTTGTAGGATTGGGATAATGTTAAAATAGTATGAAACTATGGCCTGAAGTGCCCGTTGCAGGGGAAGAACCGAAGGCTTGGCTGGGGTCGGAATTCACCCTTTGGGTTTATGGGTGGAGCAAGGCCAGCACTCCCCACCCGCGGGGAAATACCGGCACTGAAGGAGCAACTTGGGCATATCCAGAACAATCTGCCCAGTGTTGTGCTGCTCATCACCTGCCCAGCGGCACTGACATCCTTTCCTTCCCCGTCTCCAACCTGCTCTTTCCCCCTGCAGCAGGAACCGCCGCGTTCCATGAGCGAACCATTGTCTGAGGGCAAGGAGAGGGCTCGGGAGCAGGACCCTGCTGAGGGATAGGGCCGGTTCTGTACCTCGGCACACGCAGGGGCTGCTCCGCTCCTGCTCGCACACACGGGACAGCGGTGGCACTGGGGACACTGGGGACTCTGAAGGCACTGAGGGCCCGGGCACCGCCGCAGCTCAGGGCCGGAACAGGCGGGAAGGCAGGAGCGCTGTGGGGGCTCAGCAGGAGCGCTGTGAGGGCAGGACCGGGCCGATGGCGGCTTTGGGGGCTCAGCGGGAGCGCTGTGAGGGCAGGGCCGGGCCGATGGAGGCTTTGGGGGCTCAGCCTGCCCCAGCTCCGGCGGCTGCAGGGCCAGCAGTGCCTGCGTTGGCTCGGAGACATACACCAGGGAAGGGCCACAGCTCAGGGTCATGGCCAGCTCTTGATCTGACTTTGCTCTAAAGCTACAGTGAAACAGAACCTTCCTGCAATTCTCTTCTAGGTGTTTGCTACCCTTGTTACTTTACAGACACACACACACGCACATACATACATACATATACATACATACATATACATACATATATATATATATATATATATATGAGGTTATTTATTCTGAGTTCAGCCTCTCTCTGCAGTGCTTGAAGACCAATGCACTGTTTCAATGGGCCCTTACCTGTCCTTTCCACCTCCAGACTCCAGAGTTTGGTGTCTCTTCCCAGGCCCTGCAGTACCACAGCCCTGTTCTGGGTCTGTCACTCCTGCCCCGATGCTGTGGGGATGGTGCCCTGCCAAGGTGAGTGCTATTACACTGCTTTGGCACAGCTGTTTTTCATGACAAATTTAGGTTAGCTGTGACTTTTACCCTAAAGTTTCTTGCCATTTGAAAGATACATATTGCTAGCATGGTTGAAGGGTTTTCCCTTGGAATTCAGTTTAGCTGGCTCACTTTTACAGGGTCCTTATTTCCCTAAAAAAAAAAAAAAGTATGTACCTTCCAGCCTTTGCAATACTTCATCCCTTTTCTGTCATAACCTAGAACAAACTGTGTCAGGTTTTATAAAATTAATGATTCATTTTAGCACAACCTGGGTTGCTCATTTTAGTTTCTCATATTTGACCTAAGAAAAAAAATTACTAAGTTTTTGATCACAAAAATACTGACCAGACTGGTAGGCTTTACAAAAGAGACCCTTCGAGGAGATCAAATCTTTTCACACACTTGTCCATTTTGTAAATACACAAATGTCCATTTCATAAGTAAACATTCACTGGTTTTGTTATACCAGCGTTCTTTAGCACTACCTCATCCATTTTGGTTTCATCCAAACAAAATTCACTAACTCAGCAGCTGTAAGTCAGCTTGCTGGAGTAGAAATACTGAGTGGAGAACAAAATGATTTAAAATGAATACAGGGATGCTACTGGAAAAGTGACATATTCCAGAGAGGACACTGGAGGACAGCAAGTGTGATCTAGTCTAGAAGGGAGGGACTGGACTTCCTTCATCACATAATGTCAAATGAGGAAAATATAGGAAGTAATTTAAATAGAAATTTTATATGTAAAATGGTGTGAATTGTTCATGGTATGGAAATGAAGGAAATCTGAGCTGCAGAACAAATGGTGTGTGGAGGCTCTGCACTGGAAGCTGAATCAATTCCTAGACCAGAGCTGGTTGGTAACACGGGAATAGCTGAAATTTCACTTTTACAGGCATATAGTAATTACATGCAAAAATGTGATTTATGAGAACACTTCGGTGTTTACTGCTTATCTCCAACTGAGCTTTAGAAGTCCTGTTGAGAATAACATAAAATGTAACATTTTTTTCCTGTGCAATAAACAGTAATTAGGAAGCAATTTTAATTTAAAGCCAGCTAGAGTGTTGCTATTTATAATAACGAACACACAATGACTAAGTGTACAGTATGAATGAATAAGAGATTAAAAATATTAATAATGAAGAAACATTAGTAAAAGTATTGCATTTCATTGCATGACACACTCAGTACAAATCCTTAGATAGGTTTTACAGGTTTAATTGCTAATTTCAGTTCCTAAGTAGGCAGCACTTGAAGTTATACACTTTATCCTGCATCCTTTGCTTTCTGTCCCAGTCCACCACATTGCCACGTGCTTTTCAACACTTATCTAGCTTCCCTGTCATTCCTAGTCTATTTAATTTTATGTTTTGTTTTAAAACTATGGGGCACAACCTATCTACTTAAAACTTGATGCCAACCTAAGAGCCTTTTGTTGAAATACTCTTTTAATACTTTATTGTCCTTACTTTACTGTTCTGTAAATTATCCAGACCCATTACTGAGGCAAAGTCAGTGTTTGAGCTCCCGTAAGTTGTTCCTATGCATGGCAGAAAGAAGAGCTTGTATTTTATTAATCTGGCTTAAAGTAGATCAGAGGTGGCATCTCTCTGTAATAACTCTCTGGATATATTACTAAAGTGATAATATAGGAAAAGACAGAAAGAAGAGACTGTGGTAAAGGAAAAGACAGAAAGAAGAGACTGTGGTAAGCTTAATTCTACCTTTCAGTTCCAGTTTTTTGATGCAGAATTGTCTTCCAAGTATCTTCTTAGCTTCAGTGGGAAGCAATTTAATTTTAAATTTCAATGGCAAGTGGGGAATCTCCGTTGTTTGGGAGACAATTGTGGTTTTTTATTGACTGATAATATCAGTAGAAGAATTACAACCATGGGTTAAAAACTAAAGTTTGAAGGCTGGAAGATTAAAAGAAATGGGAGTTAAAATAAAAACAGCAAGACACTTGGGCTTTAAGGCAAATCAGTGAAAAGGGCCAGGAGGAACTCTTCAGCTAGTGATTTCTCCAGTAATGCCTGATCTGCAGCAGCCTCACCATCTGTTGTTTAGGTCTAAACATTTTGAAGTCACAGTATATTTTCCTGAAATACTGATTTATTTATATTTTAAATGAATGTCTTCCTTCAGCATTCCCCCACAAAACTCAAGCATTTGCAGAGACACAGAGCTGTTTCTGTCCTACCTAAATTGAGCAATACATTAAAAAAACCCCAACTGTTCAGCAATTGTCAACATCTGCCATTTCTATGTTCCATCTTAGAATACTATTCTACTTAGAATTTTTCTAAGTAAAATTCTTACTGACTGTAGCTTTAGGTCTGTCCCTCTGTGTCTTCCTGTAACTGGTGGTGGAGGAGAAGGAGTTCCAAAGACTGACTGGGTTGAAACTAATTGGAGAGGAGTCATCAGTACTTTGGGAAATTGGACATATGTTAGGCCAGTTTTGATTTGCCTTGAAAAAGTTGATCCACTAAAAAAACATGCATGCTGAACAAAAGCAGAAAAATCAATCCTCCAAACAGAATAATAATAAAGAAAAAGCACTTTGTCTTTTCACTAAATTCCACAATATGGAACTGCCATCATGGCTTCATTTAAAGTAGACACACTGCCTTAGACACCGAGCTTCACAAACTTGTTTGCACACTTTGTGTCCCATTTCTCCTCTTTAGTCCTGGTTTTAGGACTAAAAAGACCAAAAGACCCTTTCTGGTACTAGCTGAATAAAAGCTTCTAGAGCTAAAGGTGGTGTGTCCATTATGTTGCTGCATCAAGGGTGTCAATGACCAGAGGTAAAAACACAACCACTTAAAAGCCCTCCCAAACCCCTACCCTAAACCAAACTGAAAAAATGCATTGAGTTCTGCCACATAATAAAATTGTGTCTTTTTTTATAGCAAACTAGTGTACCTTGTTGCATGGGCACAACATATCTTAGATACATAATGACCCAAATGAGTCATTTTTTATAGCATTGAATATAATCTTTGACGTGACTTAATGCAACGGACTACTGTTTTGATTAAGGCCTAGATTACCTTGGCCTATCTGATAACTTCTACCAAGGGCTAATTTTCACAATAAAGATGGGTTTTTAATCAAAGTTTTCTACACCCTGCAGAAAAAGCTTTTGATATCATCTTTATGAGGATTACTGGCTGCCTCCTCCTGTGTGCAGGGTAAGGCCATCAGCCTCTTTGATCAGCACAGGAAACAAATCTCTGGATTTGCTCTGCGGGAAGGATGCAACTTCCTAGTTCTCTACTGTTGCCCTGTCCTCTTACAGCTTCTTGTATAGCAAAACCATCACCTGAATAACCCCAAATCTGAAAATTCATCTCAGAGACAGCCTCCTCTCTCATGAAGGCAAACTCAAATTGCTGAGACTCTGTCAAGCTTTCACAGAACAGTAACATACATTGGACTCGGTTTCCTCTGTACCACATGAGAAAAGAAAAACAGCTTGACAGCAAGTAAATATTTAATTTATATTTCATTATCAAACTCCCTAGATACTGGAAAGAACCTGGAAGAATTATCTATTATGTTGAGAAATGCAGTTTGAGGCTAGTATGCAGAGTATAAATTATGTTCCATGTTTAATTAATGACATGAAACAACTTTCCAGAGGAGTATCAGTTACACAGAACCTCGTATGACCTGTGCCTCTTTCTATTTTTTGGGAGATCCCAGAGACAGTATTCCATGGATCAGAGCAGCATGCCTGAGGAGTGAGCTGGAATGTGAAACAAAGAAGTCCCTGCCAAAGCAGTGACAGCAGAAGAAGGTGCACAGAGCGAATGTCCTGCACTGGCTGCAGGTGTCCTGGAGCTCTCCTGGAGCAGAGCTCCCATGGCTTGGGCAAGCTCAGAGTTCTGCTTTCCTGGCTCCTGCTCTGATCTGAGCCCAGCCAGCAGTCTGCCCATAGATGTGAACTCGAGCCGTGCCTGGAACTTCACCTTGCATTCCCTTTAGGTGGTTGAGACAAATCACCTCTCTCCTGGCCTGGCTGGTTTCCCTCAGCCCACGCTATCTCCCTGAGCTCTGTGTGCTCCAGCACTGCAGTGCCCTAGGGCAGGATTAGGCCATTTGTTTATATATAAACACATGGCACACTCCTCCTCCTGCACAAGTGTTTGTTTTTGCATAGCTGGCAGATAACAGGGCTGTAAATTTTATTGCTAAATATTATAAACATAGATCTATGATTTTTCCCCCCCAAGAATTGTGGTTTGAGTTGGATTCTGTTCTCATTTTTGCCAATTTTTTAACTGATTTACCAATCATTTACCCATGTGTGACATTAGAGTAATACTTTATGGGTTGCTTTTCAACAGCACTGACATTACTTGTGGGTACTGTTTAACATAATATAAGCAATTAAAAGGAAAACCAGGCTATTTTTCATCAAGATGCAAATGAAAATGATTAAAGTAATACATAATTTTCTATTTAATTCCTTATTATATATATCCCTACTGTATAATGAACATGACATTTTTCCAATGTTTTTACAAACACGACTATTTGGTTTTTTTCCTCTATTCTTTACATTACTGGGTCAGGTCTTTTTCCAGAAAATCTCTCTATCTAAATTACTATTAACACATATTTCTTCCCATTGTTTTTCCTTCTAGAGTCAGAATTTACCACCACAGAGAACAACTACTGCTGCATTCTACTGTTCCTTCTCCATATTGTCTCAAACTGCTTGGGATTTTATGAGGTAATTCCAGTACTATCACATCACACTTGAAACAGAATATCTAAAATATGTGATAGGAGTGCAAGAGTTTGCTCTTCTCTCTGTAGCTTTGGACACCATGAAACCCCTTTCCATATATGTTCCCTTTCCATTACCAGGATATATGGGACAGACAAACTGTTTCAGAACACAACTTTACAGATTTAGAAAGATTTTCGAAATGAAAATTAATCATACATACAGAATGTAAAATGTAATTCTGCATGCTTCACTGTAATTTTCAACATTCTAAGACCATTAATATTCATGATCCTATCTTTTTATGCTTGGATTTTTAGGTTTCGTGTGCTGTCTATATCTGAAATGGTATATAAAGTTATTTGTATTTACAGTGTCATCGCTTGCTGGTACTCACATGATCGTCTGTTACAGAAGTGTTGCAAACAGCAAGGTAACAGAATTAATGCAGTCACTAACTAAATACCTCAGACAACAGGAAATGCATTTATATTTGTATCACCAACTCAGCACTGGAAAATCTCTTTATAAATGTACATTATGAATGTGAGTAATGTCCTAGCAGGGTTTAGCTATTCCATATAGCTCTTCTGGGTTTACCTTACAACTACTAGGTGGTGCATGCTGAATTAAGAACTATATTTCTTGTAAAGCTCACCTTTTATACCATGGCAGGTATAGGGTGCACCTGTTTACCAGCACTAATCAGAAGAAACTTCAGAATGATCAGGGCTCTTAAAATTTTGGCTCATTCTGAGAGTGTTTTCTGCTCAAATAATAACGGAAAAGTTAAAGAGAAGACAGCTTCTACTGAGTCCAAAAATCTGGATAATGAGGATAATGTGTATATATATACATACACACACATGTTTTTGTAATTAAATTCTGCTATTGTAATTCTTTAAAGAGTAGTTCAGCTTAACTAGGCCTGTTCAGTGGGAATGTGTGTTAACTCCTTCCTACAGAAAGGTAAGGAGGACTTATTGTTTCTTAGGGGGCTGCACCAAGGAGATAATTACAAGCTGTAAGATATAATTACATGAACAGGGGATGGAGTGCAGGGCAAAGAGGGATGGTGGTTTTTCCAGCAGTACCTTTGACTGCAGGATAGGGAACTGCACTGAGTTACAATTTTTAACCAAGCTCATAATAACCCAGGTATGCTGTCCTCTCTGTGACTGTCAGCTGTCATGGTAACACTGCTATGCAGGATAAAGAGGAATGGATTTTAAAGTCTCTTAAAAGGATCAAATCTGACTTTTGCTCATACCCTTGCCGGTGATTTTTTTAAAGTGATCTCATACATTCATTTGTAACACCAACTTACTGCCTCACCTCAGATATGTTCATTCATTCCAAACCTCAGTTTCCAAATGACCAAAATTCAAATACATCCATGATATGCAGGAAGCTGGCACTTTACAGGGAAGCATAATGAAGACATTTTTATAATGCATTTTCCTTCCTTTGGAAGCAAAACATACACTGGACACAAAGGAAAACATCAGTCTGCATTTAATACATACAGAATTATTCTCTGTCATATATTAGCACTGTTCAAATGCAAGCATAAAGTAGACAGAGCACCAAGTTTGTAGAACCAATTCCTATAATTGTAATTGCTGTGAGACACTAATTGTCCCCACTGCAGCTTTACCAGGCAAATGGACTTCTGTGAATTTCTTTGCTTCAGTTGAGCTGAGCTGCCATGTTCAGAACACCTCTTGCTTCAGTCCCCTTCAGTTCCAGCCAGGCAGATTCTCCTAAAAAACAGGCAAACAAACAATTTAGTAAGAACCTAAGGAAAAGCTTGTGTGCATGAGCAAAAGAGCCGACTCTTGGGCATTATTAAATGGCCTTTGTTTTTTCACTGTATGTGGAAAATGGATTCAGTCTTCCCTGGAGTTACTGGCATTTGTTTGCTCATTGTTTCAGACTCAATCCATAAGCTTTTAAACTTGGGCAAGACACGTAGGATGCATAAATCTTGTATTTTGTTGTGGTCAGGGCATTGTGAGAGCATAGGCAATGGCTGGTATGGTCTCATGATATCTTTTCCCACTCTCTCCTGGCAGGAAAGTACAGACTGATGATAGATTTCAAGAGTCAATAGTGACTTTTTTAGTGTTTTAAAATTAAATAACCAGAAAAAACATCTAAAAACCTGCAACTTCTGGCAGATTTTTCAGGAGGTCACTTTGTAGTATCAGATAAAATAGTCCTATGCTGGAAGTGTGAGCAAATTTGGAAAAAGTAGTTCAAAAACTCTGTGATAAAAAACTGGTTTTCAGGTGCATTTTCCTTTTAAAGAGTAATTTAGAGAAGGAGGATATTCTTTTATTTCCAAGGATGGGAGTAAAGAAACCATGTTTTTGATCAGAGGGTGATTTCAGTTGGGTGCTGTAGTTAGGACAATGGGCTCCATCTGGAGACACAGCAGAGTGCCATTTGAATGATTGCAGCAGGAGCAGATATTCTCCACCTGAGTTTAACCTACAACTACAGTTAGTGAAATACTAAAGTTCCCCAGGCTCTAGAACCCCACAGAAACTCTAACCAACAGAAGTGGATGGTATTATTTCACTGTGTGGAGTACAAGCAGATGCATTCACTTCAAATTAGTGAGAGTTGTAAACCAGCAATTGGAAAAAGCAGTAAATTCTGGCCCTTTACACCAACTCTGATGCAATTTCATCGGCAACCTTTAAAACTGGGCTGTTCCCTTGTTTGTATTTAATTACACAGGCATTTAATTTTGATTGTTAATTTGTGCACAGCTCATTTTCTCTGTTCTATCAATGTAATTATCCCATTTGCGTAAAACAACTGTCAGGTCCAAAGTGCCTTGTGTCTCCTTTCCAAGCCGAATGTGCATCTGCAGTTCATGGTTAAAGCTTGTAAAGACCCAGGGGACAGAGTAAATCTTGGGTGCTCACTGCTCTCATTTCAGGTGTGAGCCCTGATTCAGTGTCAGTTGCACTGTGGAAAAAAGTAGTAAGTAAGAAGGACCATGGAAATTTGTATAACAAAGTCCATCTCCCTTCTCCCAACACACACCTATTTTTAAAACTTTTGATGATTTGAAACTGCTTGAAATTTTCTTTTTTCCTTTTTCCCTTGGAAGATGTGATGAAAGTGTCCTATACAGCAGTTACCCAAATACAGAATTAGTCTGAACTGCTGTGAGACCATGGATGAAGCTTTGTGACAGATGCCTTGGTGGCAGTTTTAGTTTAAGTAGTTCCAGAGTTATTTCCCAGTCCCTGTACAGTTTCATGCTTGCTCCACAAAGTGCTGCTCCTGCCATTAAATCCTCCAACTTACTATAGGAGTATGTGAAGCAGTCAGTGGATTCAGGATAAAATGCACACCACCCTTGCTTTTTGATTTGGGTTGTTGTTTCTTTCTTACTGGGGAAACATTGGGTGCAACAAGCATAATTTGGAGGCAATAGAATGGGGATTAAATTATAATTTTCACAGAACTTCGGGAGTATTTAAAGGTTAGCACTTGATTTAACTGATATTATTCAAATCCAGCCTGTACATATCTCCAGATTTATTTGCACATAATACACAGACCCGTGTGTTTTGTTCATATAACTATCCCCTGAAATCTAACATAAAACTTAAAAAATAAATTTCAGGTGAAAATTTCCTTTACAAATATAGTCTGCAAACTCAAACTAGTTATCAAATGAATAATCTCAATAAATATTTAGTAAAAATATGTAAAATAAAAGTAAAAATAAAGCAGACAGCTTCACTGTTGGATCACTTAGATAAGAGCAGTGATACCCCAACCACCCCAGGAGCTCTCAAAGTCGTGCAGAAATCACTGTGACACTAAAGTTCAAAATTTGCAGGAGATAGTTAATACTTCTGCTGTCACTTGTGTCAAAACCCTGTAAACTCAGAAGATTCTCAAGTTGCAGTTTCTGTTTGCTGTCCACACTGCAGGGTTTAGGTCAGCCCTTTCTATGTCATGTTTGTTGGTGTTACTCTCCCTGTATTTGGGCTATCAGGACACTCCAGCCATCACCTGTCCCACATGGCAACAGAGAAATATCAGCAGTATTAAAGGATTAATCTTTAATCACCAATCACAATTGATGGGTTCTGTTTCATTCATGTTCCAGAATTTTCATGTTTCTGTCACTGCATTTCTAACTTGGCTTTTGTGTAAGTAGACCTGAGCTGTGCTATCCACAGCCTGCTTGACTGCTTCATTTTCATATTATCTGTTATGATCAACAGATTTTTCCACAGCTATGACCTTATTTTTCCCCTTCTGTGCAGGGCTAGGAATGTTAAATACTTTGATAGAGGGAGAAAAAGTAATGATTGGCAGTGGTCTGAGGACTTTCAGCCTTTAAGGGCTACCTTGCTAACTTGGCAGGGGATAAAAGACCTGGCCTCTTTGCATATTTATTTGCATAAATACTGTCTTGAAAAATTGCATAAAGTTACAGTATTTGATTTAATGCTAAGATCAAAAAATCAATTGAATTTACAATATTTGCTGTAAACAACATACTATATGACAACAAGGAATAGTATATTGCAAAGAAACCTGCAGGTGACTTACACTGTCTTATCCTTGCTCGAGGGCAGGCAATTATATATTCTTTGGCTGCATCTATTTTCTATCAAAGTGGTTTAAAGTACTTCAAGGATACACATAATAGGAAAACAGTGACTGCTCTGCATGCACATGTCTTGCACAGCATATCACATTTTTTGGCACTTAAGGTGCATGGAGACAAGGGCAGATAAATCCAAATGTGAAAACAATCTTGCTTCAGAACTAGCCAGAGTTAGCTCAAATTTACCACTTCCAAACAGAACAGGAGATGACTTTGTGCTCCTAGGAAAAAACAGCTTCTGTAAGCTTTCCATTTTTCCTCAGAGCAAATCTGGGATCAATGAAGTTGAGTGCTTAGACCAAGTAAGAAGTGACCATCACCTGATGTCACCTGATTACTAAGGAGGCCATATGTCAGATGACAAAAATGTTAAAAGTCTCAGTGCAAAGCTCTTTCTGAGCTGTAGCTCTGTGTGCTGTCTGCTGTGGAGCATAATGGGGGTGGCTTTCAGTGCCAAGGGAAAAACAATGACTTAAGTGTGCAGCTTCTGAGAACCTGTGATTTTACAACACACAAGCCTGATCCTGGAACAACCCAGCAGCTTTTCTATAGGTGACAAGAAAAGTGTCAGATAATTTTTTACTCCAAAATTTCCTGTTATGGAGAGGGAGAGAGATTAAATATTCAACAGGAATTAATAAGGATCATGTAGCATCCCAGGAACCAATAGTTTTCAACACTTGCCTTTGCATGCAGGATGCATGTTGGTTCACCATCATTCTAAGTGGTATTTATTCCACATGAGGAGACATATGTCTCCTTTAGCATGCATGTTTGCATTGTCCACCTGATGGATTGCATAGGAATGAATCCAATAAAATTAAATGAAAAGTAATATTCATTTTATGGTATCTGTACCACTTATTCAAGTATGTCTACTCAATTTAAATTAAAAAAAGATATGTGATAAAGCCAGCTTATTAATATTAATGTTAAGTCATCTGGGTAGAATTTTTTCATTAAGATGTTTCCTACTAAAATATGTAATATAATAAAAAAATCTAAAATCCTCACCTCTATGAAAATATTACCTATTTCACTGCAGAAGGGGAAATCATCATCCAGGTTCATGGGGTTAAAGAGGTATGAGCATGCCAAATGAGTATCTCCATTCTGCCAAAATTAAGGAGCAGGTCCAGGAGAATTCCTCACATCTGAGCTAAACAGAGCTGCTCACAGCTGTGGCAGGCCCAGGGTAGGGAAGGACCCCTACAAAGCAACAGACAACAAAAGTGAATAAATATCAACCCTCTCATAATTTTTGCATTCTGTGCAAGAATTGTGTTAATTTGGTTTGGGTTTTTTAAATAACAGCAAGACTAATTAGAGCTCTCCCTGCTTGTGATGCAGTAAAGTGCAGGTCCATCATATGGGCACAACAGTTGAAGTTAGATGATGGCTTTAGCAGCATTAAATATCCAGGTTCCCAGCTGACAAAGGAAGAAGATATCCCCCCACCTTCTTTGAACTTCTTGCATTCTTAACATTCCCTCCATAAATCATTTAATGGCTGCCCTATTCATAGGAAAATGTATCACTGAAGTTAAACAGTGGTTTTTCTCCTTCTACTCTCATTGCAGAGAAGCATAATAAATTATGCCTGATTTGCATGCAAGTTTGCATACACAAAACTCTTGTCATGAACTAGCAAACAATAAACTGCTCATGTCAGAACCCATTGTACAAACAACAGCATCAAATAGCTACTGAGCTGTATTATTACCCTGCTGTGCTGTGCTACTGAGACTTCTCCACACAAATCTACAGCTCTGCAAAGGCAACAGAAAGGATAAACTGAGCAGCTTTGTGCCTGTCATCATGCTGCAGTCCAAATAACCTTCACTGCTTCGTGGGACATCCTGACTCTAGGGAAGTTCTGAGGCCCTGATGAACCTGTATGCAGAATGTATAAAAAAATTTCCCAGATGACACAAGTCGATTTTCCATGTGGTGCCTGAAAGCTTCTATCATTCAGCTACTGGGCAATGCACAGTTAGTTTCTCTGTGTCATGTTGCCATGAAAGTATCAGCATTACACTATGGGGAAGTTGCTCCTGCAGCTGGGGATCTGCAGGGATGAAGTGTGTTACTAATCCAGCTCTCATAGGTCACCTACACACTATTTCAAACACTGGGAAAAGCTCTCCTGATGTGTCATGGAGTTAGAGCAGAGCTTCTGACAGCTCCTCATGCAGAGTTTGATGCTAACATCTGTTACTGCCTGCTTACCTTACTTACATTCTGGAATCTGCCAGTGGAACAGAAGCAAGGGGAAATAATTAGTGGAACTCGTCACTGGTAATGAGGAGGCAGCAGGACAGATCTGCAGCTGCAAAGGATTGAATGAGAGGAGCTGGAGCAGTTCAGGGCAGTCACAGAATCAAAGTATGCCTAAAATGAGGAATACTGTTGGCTGTCACACAGGGAAAGAGCACTTTTCAGAAGACTGGAATGGCTACTTTTAGAGTTGCCTCAACTTGGCACCTTCCCTCTTAAAGAGAAAAGGATACCATATGCTGCACAAGGGTAAAACCACTTTGTGCAAAGACATTAGCAGAGGAATGCTTTGAGGATTTAAAAAGAATCAAAATCATGCTGAGGTAAAGTACAATTTTTATTGCAATTTAGCTAACACAAGGCATATAAAAATTAATTTCAGAGAGGTATTCTGAGAATGAATTTGCACAGAATAGCGGCAGGCAGGATATTGGGCAAGTACATTTAGGAAAGGTTGTTTTGGTAGATCACAGTCCTTGCTCCCTTAGAACTAGACTTGTAGCATAAATAAGAAAAACTAAAGTTTTTTCTTATTTATGTCCAGGGTATGACAGCCCTGCAGGTTTCTAGCCCATGGCAAGCACCAGCTGATGTGTATTTAACCTCCAACACTACAGCAAAAGAGTCTTGCAGCTGTCAGCACTTAAAGCAGGGAAAGCTACAGGTTCCAAGTGTACAGTAGGCTTTTGGTTCATAGCTCACAGATCCAGATGTGTGGTACTTAGGCAAAAAATCACACAGGTCCAGGGCAGCTCTTCCTAAAATCTTGAAGAAAGAGTTGTAAGGATTGCTATAAAGCACTACAAACTGGAAGTGTTAGAAATTGGCAAACCTACTGGGAAGAAGCTTGTTATTTTCCTCCCCTGGGAATGCCTTCACATGAAGCAACAAAGCAACTATTGACACTACTGAACAGTGAAGAACTTCATAAAGTATCCCCTCATGAGAGAAAGTTAGTGCATTGTAATTCAGAGTGAATCTGGCAAAGTCCCCTCTGCTGTTTATGGGAGAAGTAAATACTGTGAGGCCTGAAATGTGATTTTCCTATACAGTGGATACCTGTATCACACCTCTTGGTGTCATCTTTGAACCAGTTGTAACAATTAAGCTCTCATCAGTTTATCATCTGGAAGCTCAAGCATTTGAGGTCTTGCACTTAAACCCAAATCTTTAAACCTTGTGGCTTAAATGTCTTGAATTGTAGGTGAGGCTCCAGTGGGACTGCTGGGGCACAAAGGACCTCAGCTAAACAGAACCTATTATTGCAGGACTCCAGGCTTGCAGCTGACCCCATAATGAGGTGGAACAACCCTGGCAGTGGTACAAGGGATCTCTGTGTGCCCTCACCTCCGCTGTGAACCCCAAATCTCTCCTCTCCCTGGCACTTCAGCCAGGGCTGGAGAGTTACAGACTCCAGGCTGCAGAGCCAGGACACAGACTGGGGAAACTGTGGAGTAAGAACCCAGGGAAGGTGTTCCTAATGGGATCAGTGACAGTGAAGCTGCCCCAGGGATCCAGCAGCAATATACCTGAGACTTACGTAGGAACTTGTTACTCATTAATCATTAGTCAAGACATACTGCCTGCCAGTGAAAGCTTCTAACATTTGCTGCTCTGCTGTGATACAGAAGGAAAGCAAGTCGTAAACTACCCTGGCACTTTAGGGCTGGATGTGTTTGTGGGGAGATAGGAACAGCCTGTAAGGTTTAACATTTAAACCAGGAACAAATTATTGCAGAGTCATGAAACACAGTGGTATGTGAAGACAGCTGTATCTCAACACAAAACACACTCTAAGAATGAAATAATGAATCAAGAATATTAACAGGGAAAACTATTCAGAGTTCTTGGAGCCCAGATTCTCTTGAATTTGAGCAGTTTAGTAAATATGTTTATTAGACACTATAGGTCTATAAATATCAGTGATATTTAAAATCTATTTTAATTATGCATTCAACATTAGTGGCTTCTTTAATAGCACACTTAAAAACAAACAAACAAAATAATAGTCAAAAAATCCCTAAAACTCAGATGCTCTTCCATCCAAAACCCTTACGCTGATCATATTGGTAAAATACAGGAAGGGGAGCAGTACCTTTGACAGAGCAGTGCTGCTGCTCATACAAGAATAGCTGCTAAATTTCCCTGCAGCTGCTTCACTGATGTGCAGGAGCTTCAGGAATGCATGGCATGGCTGGTTACCAAAACAGTTCTCTCTGAACAGCACAAAAATACAGATGAAGATTTATTTCATTACAAAGTAGCTCTGTTTGGAGGAGAAACAGGATTACAATGCTTGCAATCATCTTTCCACTCCTCCTTGAAGAGCAGCTCTACCAGCTGAGCTGATGTGCCAAGCCAGCTCAGTGGCTGCAGGGGAACCAATTCCTTGGTGTTCAGGGAAGCCACTGGAGAACAAACCTTTGTCTGTGAGCTGGAATTTTGGCAGCAGTTCCTCAGCATGCAGAAGCCAAAAGTGGTATTGGATTGACAGCATCTGGGAAGCAATGAGACACAAGCTTGTTTTTATGCACACCTATATGGAGTTGCTGTTATTATTTGGGATTGGCCACTAGGAGAGTCAAAGTGCTGAGTGACAAAGGAGTTGCTTTTTACTCTCTGCTGTCACTTAACAATGGCATTCTTCTTACTTTATTTTCCACCTTTTTTTTTGGTCTCTAAGTTCATAATGGAACATTTTTTATTTCAGCACTAAAGAAAACAGTTCCTCTGAGTTTGTGGACCATATATTCTACAGGAACTGTATTTCTGGGCAATTTGTGGCATGTCTGCTGAATCCAAAGCATAAGCACAGTGAGTGAAGACATTTCTGTTTTAACATGAGCAGATCTCTATGATAAATGCTGCCACTGCAGAGTTTATTGTAGCCCACCCAGCAGGCTGAGATTCTGCAAGGGTTGGAAGGTCCTGAGGACAGAAATTACAGCTCAGGTCTCAGCACGTGCCTGACTTGAGAGAAACTTACAGTGATGGCACAAGGACACCACCAGAAGAGCATTTTCTCTTTTTATTGAACAAAGGTGTTAGTAGTGTAGGTAGGCTTCAACTCCCAAGTGGCAATTTATTATAGTGGATCTAAAACTAGGAAAAGTCAGAGCAACCTTGATAGAGAAAAACTTGAAACATAAAAGAAATTAAATGATAAATAAGAATGCAGGAAAATTGCAGTCATGTGGTCTAATTGACATGTGAAAACAGTCTGCTTTCTGAAATTTTAAATGATTGGCACCACTTTACTCCAGCAGGGAAACTCCAAGGGTGATTTTTATTCAGTGATAATATTTTGCATAATAGCAGCCAATTATATTTGCCAGGCATGCAAATGCTGATGGCCTGGATATGTCATCTCAGCATCTGACCTTCTGCTACCATTACCTTGCTCTTCCTCACATGAATTGCTCAAGTCAAACTGGTAAGGATACTTTTAAAGGCTTAAGTAGTGCAGTACAAACAAACAAACACAAGTACACACTCTTCCTTACAAATGCTTTATTAAAAATGCTTCTGGGGTTGTCCATTTTGAGATATTACTCTACATAAATGTGAAACTCGAGTCAATTCTTGGTTTAAAAAACTTCATCTATATTTTGAAATGCTTGCAGCTACTGTAGAGTGTAGGAAAAATAATAATTTCTAATATTTACACAAGGACTAACAGCACAAAATTGTACAAAATGAAAAAAAATATACAGTACAGAGACTTTTTATAATATCTGCAGTTGATACTCTGAAAGGTCCCAGCCTGTGAAACTGAAATTCAGAGACAGTTAAACTTCTTACCTCCCTTTTCTTCTTCCCTCACCTCCCACCCCAGTATTCAAACCCTTTACTCAGTAGAAATGATTAATGAAGAATGTTAAGATATAACAGATGTGTTTTCTTAGAAAAAAACATGTCTTAAATATATATATTTATATACTCAGGACAGATCCTGTTTCCCTTATGTGACTAGATTTACATGTGTAAGAAATAAAATTGACCCTGTAATTAGAATTGAAAGCACAAAGATCCAACAACAGAAGACAATTCCAGTGTATTTTGTTATGCTTCCCTTCAGCTTCAAAATTCCTGTTGTGTCCAGGATGAAGTCAGTTTGCTGCCACATTCCCGTGGGACTGGAAGGGGGTCAGGCTTTAAACATGCACTGGCACGAGAAAAAGCCAAAGACAGCACTCACCATTCAAGTGCTGCTTGTTACTCACTATACAATAGTTTTTATTATGGATCCTCCTGAGTGTTTCAGGAGAGTTTTGGCCAAATAAGAACTTGCTGAGCATTTAGTACAGGCAGCCTATACCTAAAGCCAGGATGTGTAAAGGTACCACCACATTTCTGTTACCACTTTAAAAAGCACAGCAATGTTAATGCCATGCCAGAAAGAGCCTCCTGCCTAAGGCAAGCTGTAACTTCTCAAGGACTTCTGTAGAGGAGCCTGGTTGGCAGCAGCACAAGCAGTGTCTGAGAACTTTTCACTATTCCTTCTATGATCCCTGCTTTTTCCTGTGCAGCTGCAGAATGTGGAGTTTGTGATTTCAGTATAAAGGTAACAAGTTGGTGGCTGTCAGGAGGAGGATGCAGTGTGGTCCTAGAGATGAGAGGCTAATGCTAATCACCTGCTCATGGATCATTTCCTGTCATAAATAACTATCCTCTAGTGTCCTAGAATGCTTCACTTAAACCTCTGTGCCTTCCCTGGGGTACAGGGTGTTGTTTGTGCTGAGGCTGCTGTAAAAATGGGTGTTAAACTGGTTGAGCACCGAGTTGCTGTGGCCAAGGTGACTGGAAGGCATGGAATTGGACCAATCTCCCACACCATGGCTGGGGATACTGGAGAGTGGGGAGTAGGAATTGAAGCCTACCATGTTCTGCCCCATTTTGTCAATGGGTTCAGAGCTGAGTCCCACGGGCCCGGAGCGGCTCCCCGAGTTGGAGCTGTGGACATAGGTGGTCATGCTGGAGAGGAAATTACTGAGGCACGGGCTGCTGGAAGAGGGAGGAGGAGATCCTTTCTCAGGTGAATTGTCAGTCCCAGGTGATGAGTTTTCCAAGATATCATGATGCTCTGCAGCTTTGGGGCTGCCAGTCAGGGTACTGTCCTCAGATTTCTCAGACGCAAGAGTAGCAGCACTGGCCTCAATGTCAGACTTTCTCTTCCGCTTCCTGCGAAAGTTTCCATTGTCAAACATCTTTTCACAGTTTGGGTCGAGAGTCCAGTAATTCCCTTTTCCTGTCCAAGGAAACAAACCCACACTTTAAATTTAAAAATAGTCACACACAAAAAAAGCAGTCATTTAGGGCTTTACAGTGCTTCTCTCATTTCACAGTAACAGAACAATTGCATGAGCAATACACATGTATTTTTAGTCACCCAAAAGTACAAGTCTGTCGAATACAGAAAAAAAGGTTTAAAGTTCTGGGTTCTACCCTTTAGACCTTACTCATCACAAGGGCAAAACTACAAGTGGAGTCACTGGGAGGGCTTTTTGTTTTGTTTTCTTGGTGAGGGAAGGAGGTTTTCAGAATACAGCTGGTGGAGGGCTTTTTGTTTTGTTTTCTTGGTGAGGGAAGGAGGTTTTCAGAATACAGCTGGTCTTCTCAAATTATGGCAGAGTAATAAAATCCCACACTGGGCTGCTCCTCCAGATTCAGTGGGGTTTCTAACATAGGTTTCTAATCATAGGTTATCATAGGTTTCTAACAAGATAGAATTAGACTTTTGGCCCTCTACTGCAGAATAGTTTCAATGTGTTTTTAATGTTCTCAGTGGTTCTTCACAGCTATTGATAGGAAACCATGAATAAAGGAATATCTGACAGCCTACCAGCCAAGGGGTTGGTAATGGCAGAGGTGTCATTCCAAGCAAAAAAAATTGTAACAAACAAAATAAAAGCAGCCTGCTCTCCTCTTGAGAATTAATGCTGACTCCCCAAAGCCATTGGCTTTCTTTGACAAATCCCCTTCCCTTGAATTCCCAGTTAAGTTTGACACAAGTCATGCATTACACCAAATGGGTCTTGAGTGTGCCTTGCCCAGTTAAATGTTCCTGTGCCTGCTGAGTCTCATGCTCAGCTCATTGATCCATTCCCAGGAGGACCCAGAGCAGGACAGAATGCCTTTCCCTCCAGAGATCTCACAGCAACACTGATTCACACCTCAGCTATGCAAAGCTGCTTTCTAGTTCAGCTTTTTGAAAACAAAGTGCTGCTGTGTCTGTGTCCTGTGTCTGGGCTACTACATCTCTTTACAGTGCACTAGGTATTTTAAAATTCATCAAGTTTAATTAGAGCTGGGGAGAAAGAGGGAGAGGGCTATACCTGGATCATCTTCATCTCGAGGCACCTTCTTGAAGCAGTCATTGAGGGACAAGTTGTGCCGTATGGAATTCTGCCAGCCAGCTTTGCTTTTGTTGTAGAACGGGAAGTTGTCAGCCACATACTGGTAGATCTGGCTCAGAGTCAGCCTCTTGTCAGGTGCCCCGTGGATGGCCATGGCAATGAGGGCAGAGTAGGAGTAAGGTGGTCTTACCAACTTCATGAGCTCCTCTTGGGACGGGAGGGGAAGCCAGCCAAGGTCAGTTCCTCCCAAGCTGTGCATGTTAGGCAAGAGCTGCCTCTGCATCCCATACGACTGCGGAATGAAAGGACTGGCGTTGGATCCTGGCAGATACGGCGGTGGGGTAATGGAAGGTCCATTTAGCCAGAGGTAGGGATTGGGAGTGGCGTTGTAATCCGTTGTCTCAAAGGTGCTTGGTCGCTGGGGACTCGGGATGTTCTGTGGATGGAAGAAGTTCTCGTAGTAGATATTCATCTCTGGAGGTTCTTGGCCGATATTTGGGAACTGTGGGCTGCAGCGTGGAGGGGAATGCGTTTGTGGGTCAAAGAAGCTCATGCTCTAAGCCAGGTGGCTTGTGAGTTGTGACACACCTGTGCTAGTGCTCCTTTCCTGGGACAGGTGCATCACCTGTGCCCTTCCCTAGGTACTTATGCACCTGTAAATGTTTCAGCCTGTGCTGCAGGCTCCACCCCACAGCCCTGAGTGGCTGCAGATGAGGACGATATCCTTTTTGGAATGCTGGCAGTCCCAGTCAGTCATTGATGTCACATCAACCAAACGTGAAAGTTACAACTGTTTATCTTCTTAAATGAATGAAGGAATTTTCCACTAATGTGATGCACATGAAGAAAGCCTAGGGTTTCTTGAAGTTAAAACTTAAAGATCCTTTTCAGTGAAGCTTTAGCATTTCCAATTTTTTTTTCTTATTAAAGAAGAGCCATTTTGTGCTGCTGTTATTAACACCTCAGAATGCAACAGCCATTGTCACTAGTCAATGAAACAGTAGAGATATATACTTAAAAATAAAAAAAAAAGAAAAGAAAGAAGAAAAGAAAAGGTCAGAAAAGGTTTTCCTTTTGTAACTTTAATTGCAGACTTGCTTGTACTTCCCCCTAGGCAATCACAGTACTATAGGCAAATTCTGTGGCTGGTTACTCACGTGAGTAATCTTACTGATATAAATGGAATTAACTCCCTAAAGTAAGGATTAATCTTGTGAGGAAAATATTTCAAGCTTAATAATCAAACCTTTCTTTTGAGTTGAAATTGGTGAACTGAGATGGGAAATCATTATGTGCTGCTTCCTCTTTGCTGCAGGATTGGTGCAGAGAGCTCATAAAACCTCTCAGCACAACTTCCAAACAGGAGAACAGCGACAGCGTTCGGCACAGCTCTTTTTAACCTAGTTCAAATAACTTCATCTGTATCTATACAGACAAGAGCTGATTCCTTAAAGTGAAGTAATAAGGAAAAACCTCTAGCCCTTTCCTGATCTGGACAAATCCTTAGTGCTTTGCATGGCATCCTGCATGTTTGAAGGACAGAAAAGCAGAGCTGCAATCTCACCACCCCTTCTCAGGGTGGCAGCCCTCCACTGCATGAACGCCTGCACTGGAGTTAGAGCAGAGCTGCAGTTCCCTTCACAGTGATATTTGCATTTTTGTTTAGTGATTAAGGCACACGCATCATTTAAAACTTGCCTCAGCCTTAATACTCATGCAACTAAAGAAGGTCATGATATGACAGAGCCTTCCAGGTAGCTCTTGTCCTATGATTTCTGCAGAAACACCAGTTTTGACCCATGGATTTGAATTCCTGGCTCTACCAAATACCTTTTGCTTTGTCACACTTAATCTTCTGTGCAGTAGCACAACCACCAAGACTCCCCACTCCCTAAAAATTAGTGATTCACTGATGCCATGTCCATATTGCTTTGAAAAGTAGGAAAAAAAATTCCACTGGAAATACTACTAAAATATTGAATACAGAATGGCAAAGCAAGCCCATTTGCCAGCTCAGAAATGCAGCTCTACAGCTGTTACTTTAAAAATCCATGCTTTCACTGCTCAGAAAATCATTTGTACCACAACAAACAAGCTGCTACTTTAATTTGAATGGTTGAGAGCTCAGAGTATGTAAATGCCAAATAACCTGTGCAGAGACACACAGTAAACAGACAACAGTTAAGTGGAACTTGGTGGGACTGGCTTATTTTCTAAGTGGCAGCTGCTATACAAAAGGTGACCTGGACAAAAAAAAAAAGAAAAAAGAAAGAAAAAATATTTATTTTTCAGGAGCTCATAATGTGAATGCTTCCCTCCTCAAGGGACTAATCTGCAATAATCGTTTTCACCTTAAGAATCTGAGTTACAAACATGCAAAATGCTGTTTGAATAATATCCACTACAGCTTCCTAATTAACTGTCTAACATATAGATATATTTAAAAATATATGCATCCCTGCAAATATTGGTACAAATATTGGTAATAACCCCCTTTCAATTACAGAAGTGTCAATAGAATGTTTAAGAAACACACATGAGTAAAACCACATTTACAATTAACTAAAGAGCCAGAATATAGTGAGAAAAATAAACATAATACATTTTTGACCTGCTCAACAGATTAGATTTTTGCCAAAAAAAACCCTTGAAAACAAGAAAAACTTGTAAATTTATTCCAAGCAGTAAAAATTCAACTAACTGCATCATGGACTTCGATGACTGACATCTAAATACTTATTCCCTGAGGTGCACTGAATGCATAGTTACAATAAAAATACACTCAAGTGGGTGCTGAGTGAATACAGGCTTTGAAAAATGCCCAGGCTTTACAAAAGGAAAAAGCATTACTGCTGCAGCCAGAGATGGTGATGGCTGTAACATTTCCTCTGCCAGTCACTGCTGCTGAAGTTGACTGAGAAGGGTGAACCCGAGCTGCCTGGGGATGGGCAGCCCTGCCAGCCCTCCCAGCTGAGCATGTCCCACAGAACCCAGCAAAGCAGGGACTGTGCTGAGGATGCCAAGTGCTGCTTTTACAGCAGGGAGGTGCAGAGACATCTCTGGGCTGCTGCCCACGGAGCTGTGAAAGGGGGGGCAAAGTCTGATCCCTCCCCGGCATGGCTGGCACAGCTTCCAGCAGGGACACGATCCTATCAGCAGCATTTCCCTTCTGCTGGCTGGGCCTGATTTACTCAGATCAGAGTATAAACAGTGCCAGGAAAAAGGTACTTTGTCAGTACTCTGGGCACGCCTTGCTGCTGCGGGGTCACTGCAGCACGCTCCTGGGCAGCTCTTCTGCTGCAGATGCTCTTTTGCAGGCAAGGAGGCAGCAGGGAGAGAATCAACTCCGTTCGAGCTCTGGTGGCTGGAGGAAATTGAGTCTAAGCAGGAATATTGTCCTGGGGTCTTCACCACTGGGAGTCTTCCTTTTGGCAGGGCTGGAAGAAGGTAGCAATCCCAGAAGTGGAGAAAAGAGAAGGAAAACCGGTGAGGCTTCCATATAAAGGTGGCATTAAAAATTCTGCAAATAAACTGGAGGCTGCTGCTGGAGAAAGTTTAATGATCATTATTTCCAAATGCATTGGGTCAGTAAGGTCTGACTAGGCAGGATGCATTATATATTTATCATGTCTTTTTACTGCAGTCCAGTACTGCACGGCCCTGAGTGCATTTCTCTACCAGCTGGGAGCCTGGGCAGCCACAGATTGTTGTCAAACCAAAGACTGTTGACAACTCTTGCATTACACAAATATTTGCTCCTCTCAATTTCTTGAGTGAAGCTCCAAAATCTGCGGGGTTGAGGCTGAGCCCTGGCAGAACCACTGTTTTCCATAGGTTTTTTAGGTCAGCTCCCATGTACCCCTCCACTCCAGCCAGCAGCAGTATTTCTTCACACTGACTACCCTTCTGTAAAAGACCACTCATACCCCACAGTTACCTGCACATCCAGTGTCTCTGAAACACAGTGACTCGGGACAGGTGTGCACACACCAGCACATGGTTCATACAAACCATTCCTGTGGTCACAAAGAAGACGGAAAATTTGTTTTTAAAATAAAGGAGTCTACATGTAAGTCAATATGCCAAGTGACCCATCTTGTTTCAAACAATTCACACTCTGAATTGAGAAACAGGTCAGTATCCATCAATAAGACATTTTCACACAGTGAAAGATTCTGTGTTCTCAGTTGTCCAGTAGATTACTTTTAGAAGTCTTTGTGTCTTATTCCACCAATCATCTGCCCAGCATATCCACAAAATAAACCACACCATGAGAAAGAACAGGCTGTAGCAGGCAAAGCAATGTCATCTCAAGGACACTACAAAAGCATAAGAAATGTAAAATACAGCACTGCAAAACAAGGGAACTGAGCTTTATTTCTAGAAAGGCAGGTTGAACATTAAATTAATGGAAAAGGCAATATCATTTGGGTCTGTGCCATAAGTGCTGCAATGCTAGAATGCCCTTAGACTTTCCAAGCCATCCAGAACAAAATCACTGTGGATTTTTGAAGCAACTTTATAACTGGGATTTTAGAAGGCAGTGAAACCTTGTAAGGGCTCATAGCTGCTCTCTGACCATGAGAATGATGATAATAAAAGTTCTCATAACTCCTACCTCCAAAAAGGCCTTCTACCATCTCCTCACATAAAATAAATATGGTGGAGGGGATTAGGTGTCCTCTGACTCGTGTATCAGTGGTGACAGGCCACAGGCAGGCAAGGAATCCATAGCTTCCCCTTGGCTGCCGGGGGATCTGCTGTGCTGAAGGACACAGATGTGGTCACATCTGTCCCAGAGGGGCAGAATCAGTCTGTGACAAATCCTCCTCGTGGCAGTATCCAAGGGGTCTCTCCCAGTTACAGGAAATTAATACAGATACAGACTCTTCAATCAGTCAGACTGTGACAGCCTCACTGCTTCTGCAGTTCCCGCTTTCAGGTCATCTGCTTGTTCCACTCTCACCACTAAATGTGTGCTTACATGAGAAATCAATGGTGCTGAAATTAAATGAGGTCTTGTATGAACATCAACACAGCTACTAAAGAAATTCATCTGTACACACTTCCAAAACCCTTCAAAGTTTAATTTATTGTGCATTTCAATGAAATGTATTTATTCATTTCAGTGCATTTCAATGATTTATAGAAAGAAAAAGTAGCAACACACTACTGCTTTTGTTTCAGTCACATTTCAATATCAAGGTATTTGCTGGTGTGGATAAATCAGCCCCTCCCTCTCCTATTCAAATGGAGATTTCATTGAAAAGACATTTTAGAACCACAGAATTTTTTGGGAAACATAATGTCCTTTTTTTAAGGAAAAAAAAAAAAAAAAGTTTTTTTCAGTGTTCCACACCCTTTAGTTCTTACACGACAGAAACACTTGGGAAAAATTAGAAAATTAGAAGCTGAGGCTGGAAAGCGAATCGGTGCAAGCACAGGGAACTTCTGAGTGGTCACACCCAGCCACAGATAAACTTCAGGCTGGTTTATTGCAGCCAGGGTTTGAGTTCAGAGCTAACCTAACCTGCCAGCAGGGTGTTTAGGGCCAGAGTATCGCGACATCCCATCGCCCCCCGGCGACACCGCCTGCCAGTGCACAGCTGGCTGCGGACCCGCCCTGGCATCCTCCTGTCCTGAATCTGCAAAAATAACCCATGCCATATGTAAACATTTGAAACTTTTCCCTATTTGAATCCTTCATTTGCTTTGAAATTCGGAGTGGAAATTTGGATAGATTTAGAGATTTCTTTGTTTTAGATTAGTTTCCTTTTTTTTTTTTTTTTTTTCCCCATCCTGATTTCCTGTATTCCTCTTTTCCTGTCTTGTGAAATTAGTCCAAATTTCAGTTGTAAAGAAAGGCTCTATGAATGCAGGGCCTGTGTGTGCTACCGTGTGTGTCAAAGCAACTGAAGGAAGGTTTTGCAATCCTCATTACTTGTAGACTCCAGGTATCAAATCATAACATACTTTAGTGTACAATAAAATACCATACAAAATACAAGGTTAAAAGGTCTGCATCTGAAGCTACTTGGTCCAGGGCTCTTTTCTTATATCTAAAAACGTAAATAAACATTCCGCAGAAAGTCTTCCCTCAAAATACCTGGCAAACATGGAGAGTTCTTTAGACTTTTTCCAGTTACAACAGCACAAGTTTCCTGCTGCCTCACCTCCATAAGTCTTTTTTGGCTGCTGGCCTTCCAGGGCATAGATCCCTTAAATGACAGTTTTCTGATGCCTGTCCCGTGCCTTTTGAATCAGTCACCATTTACCCCGTGGTGACACCATCTCCAGCCACCTGCCATGAGCTGAACTAATCCAAGCAGTGGCAAGGCCTCTCAGGGGTTAACTGTGAATGAGAGATCAGTCATGCCTGTCACATGAACTGGTACTAAATGCAGCTTGAATCAGAACCCACACATGGAATGGGGCAGCTGGAGCTGCAGGATGCATTAATACACATGAAAAAATCATCCTCACAGACACTGTGTTTGTTCCAGCTCAGACACAGTGGCTGTGTCATCACAGGGGCAGCCATAAGAAAGATCTCTCATGGCACACAGAAGCTGTCAGCTATCCTGGAAGACAAAAAACTACATTGAAAAAGGATAATTCTGCGCAAAACCCAATCAGATCAAACTGCCTTCGCTTTAAAGCCGTGATTAAATTTATCTAACATTTAAAAGTTTATGAAATCCATGGCCTACCCGAGGTTTGTTTGCAGAGCAATTCTTCATTTACAGTGTTAATCTTTAGCACACGCTGCATCATGAGATCAAATCAGAACAGAAAATTACACAGTCAATAAAGAACAAGTCCTCTCCTCACCCCAGAGCAGTAAACACTGCCAATGCTGAAGTCCTTACAGCTCAGGGCAGCCCCTGGAGTGTTGCTCAATGTTCCCCCTCAGAAGGACCTTGAATGCCTAAGAGCAAGTTCTGGCAGGGAGATATAACTTCTGTGGAGTGACTTCTCCAAGGCACCCAGGATAGGAGAAAAAAAAAACCTAAGCTTTTTTTGGTGGAGGCTTTCATATTCCTAAAAAAATAAAGAGATGCCTCTAAAAAGATGGACATCTCTTCATCCAAAAAATAATGAGGGAAAGAATCCTTAAACTGTTTAGTTTTCTTTCCCCCCTCAGAAACAGATTTAAAAAAATATGTGCTGCAAAATACAAGTTGGCTTTGAATTTGCTGATTTCTCTCGATTTCTAAATGAGAAAAATGCTGTGTTTGGTTAAGTTATTCCTTTTATCTTCTCCCACTCTGGAGAATTGACCTGTGCTTTTGTTTTAAACAGAATGCCCTAATTCTGAATGATTCCCATTGATGTTGGCATATATGGAACCAGTCTATGGGATAAATTCTCCACCATTTGAATAGTTTTGTACTGAAGTTAGAACAAAAAGAAAGGATCCTCTGGTATTTTTATGGTACTTAAGCTAAAATCCTTGAAAACAGCAGAGGAAGTGAACAAGAGAATTATGTAGTTGGATGCCTTTAAACACAATTCCTGGACCTTGGCTGACTCAAACATAAACCAGATTTAATAAAAAATAAAACCACTTTCTCTTCCTATCATGCTATTTTAAAAACTTATTTAACAGCTCTTCTTTCTAAAAGTGCCCTCATCCCATGATCAGGGTGGAATAAATGAAAGCAGAGATCCAGTGATGTCCAGTGTGTCAATGGACTCCTCACAGAATAACCAGTGTGGCACCAGTACCCCCACTGAGGACTGGGAACTGCCAATCTTTTCAAAAGTCAAGGTCTTTTCCAACTCAAAATCTTTTCCAAATCAAACTCCATGATTCTACTCACCCACGGTTTCTACTGTCTAATAAAGAAGGTTACAGGCTGTGTGTGATAGAGATAAAAGTTCAATGTCAAGCAGTTACACAGGTCTATCACACATTCGAGTTCCAGAACAAAGTGTTCCTAACGTCTGTAAAATCTTTAATAAAACTCTCCTTCCTCCTCAGAAACTTGATCCTTATTGACTTAGACTCTGACCATTTTCCTATAGCTCACACCAGCTAATTTTTAATGAGATTTTAAGGACATTTAATTTTCCCCCAGAATGAATATTTAAGTCATAATTTCGTAATTAGAACTTGGTATGACTTTATGGCACAAACAAGGGCAGGCTGGATACCCACCTCAGGTGAGGATACTCCTGAGTACCCTGACGTGGGTAAATGCCAACATTTGCTGTGCAGACCTTGTGCTGCATTCACACAGCAGCTCCTGGGGCTGGACCAGCACCTCTAACATGGTGTTACACTCCACAGAGACACCCAGGTACCTGTGTCTGGCTAAAAATGAGATTTCTGCTTAAACTGAACTACAGTGTGCAGCTTAAATGCATCACTGCAGTGTGACAGCTCGGTGCAGGTCAGCTCATCAAATCTCAGCTGCACCTGCAGCTTTCCTGCCCCTGCAAACAGCTCATTAATTACAGATCACACAGCCCCTTCATTATCTCAGTACCACACTGTCACCAGCCAGGCGAGTGGAAATGCCAGAGAGAAGGGAAATAACTGGAAGGAAAAGCAATGGGAACGTGGTTGTGTTCCTGACCCACACGGGGAGAGCTGCAGCCATTCCTGCTGCAGCAATTCTCTCGAGAGCAGCCAACGCCTGACCCTGTCCTGGAGGAGATTTCTGCCCTCTGTGCTTCACCTCAAAGAATGTCAAATACAGGTTCTGTCCCCCACCTCTGCATACATGAAATAAAGGCCTGTTGAGCTCATGACAGAATTGGCAGCAAGCAGTGCTGATTCACCATTTTAAACAGATGTTGCCATACTGGCACTTGATTTTCCCAGGGCATCAACTTCATGCTGTGTTGTTTGTTTGGACTAAAAGTCAGTATCCACAGCTTCTGGAAACTTGTGAAAGGCTAGAGCTTGTTGTCCAAACATCCTTAAAATTCCAGTTCTATGAATGCCCTGTTCTTGGCAGCTGTTTTTTCTTGGTTGATTTTGCTTTTCTGCTCAGAGTAGATTGATGCAATTTCAGGAACTTGGGCTGACAAGAGGAGGACAATCTGGTGTGGGACAACTAATAAAATTATTGCTGATATTTAGTAAACGAAATGTGAACTTAAACCCTTCACCCAAAACTGTACTAAAACCTGAGCAAAACACAAGCACAAATCTTGAACCACTGGCTTAACACCCCACACCAAACTTCCTTTGGATGTTGTGCTCCTGCTTTTCTGGTATTTGTTTCTGGGCACTTCCTTCACTTCCATTCTTGCCACTTCTTTATTTTGAGTCACAGTATTTCAATAACAATTTATAATAACAGCTAGATATAAAACTCTATTATTCCACTCACCTGAAAGCATCTCTGAAAGATACAATAAATAAAAGGTAACCTTTAACAGGTATTTTTACAAAGAATAAACAGTTCCTAAATCCTCCTTTTCTTACTCATTTCCAGTAGAACCAAACCTTTTCTTTTAAAATACTTGTTTATTTTGTATATTTGTATTATTTTATATTTGTATATTTCAGGGTACCTGCAGATAATATTGAAGGACAGCTTTGATACCCTCCCTTCTCTTCCCCCAGGTCAGCAAGATGTTTAATATGCACCCTTCAACCTTTCATTTTCTCCCACTCACTGATAACCTTCTCTCTTAAACAGAAGACTTTTTACTTGGAAAGCCTTTTTCTTCCTCTGTGTCTCTTGAGAAGCATTATCAAGCTGCTGTGGAAAGCAAATGAAGCAAAATGAAACCAAAAGTCTATCAGAAGTCATGCCAAATGCTGCAGTTAGCGTTAAAACTGGGCCTTTTTTTTTGTTTTGTTTTGTTGTCTGTGGTTATTCTGGTGAAGGTGCAGCATTAATTCCAATGGGAAATATTCTAAACCCCTCACAGAAAACAATCACTAACTTCTCCTGTAGAAAACTGTGACTTGTAGAAAACTATTCACTGTGACAACTTGCAAAGAGAGATAAATTCATAAAACTAATTAGTTCACACTGTAAGTTAAAGTGTTGATATAAAAACTTTGGTTTAAACAAACTGCAGATGTCTTTCCATAGATTGAACTCCACAGAAATGAGTAACTTGAACCTCTTTTTCTTTCCCAAATCTGTAGAAATGGCAAAAAGGCCAATCCCCTCATCCACAACACTGCACATGAACATATTTTATTTACTTGGTATAAACCTATGTTGGTGTCTGAAACATAAAGGGATGAGTGAAGGGAATCAATTATTCACCTTTAGAGACCCCCCTCTCTCTGGGAAACTTAGAGAAAGAGCTGACAGGTTATAAAATCTCTGAGGTGCTGACCTGTAGTGCTGTGGAGCTTCACATCAGTGAGGCATCACCTCCCAACTCCACCTCACGAGGTGGGAAGACACAGAAAATCAATCTAAACCCAGAAAACTTGGGCTCATAGCATTCTGTTTGCTGTCAGTAAAAAACTATTACCTTTCATACAATGCTGCCTGGAGATGTCAGGGAGAAAGGGTCAGGGCAAATAAAACAGATTTGTAACATTTTATTGAACAGCAGAAAATGTAGCTTTCCTTCATCATGCTGCTGGGTGCAAGGTCAATTTGTACATGTGTAAATAAACTTTTGCATGTTTTCCACATAGTAGCTGCTGTTCTGGAAACAGCTCAGGCAGAGGTGTCACAGCCACGGGCATCACCCAGGGAACACTCAGGGTACAGAGCAGTGTGCTGGGAGCAGCAGAGGGATCTGAGGGCTGCAAACCCAGCTACAGCCACACAGAAAATTGGCAGTGGCTCTTTTGTGCTGAGCCATCTGTTGCCTTGGCTACACTGCCAGCGAGGGTTTGAGGGTATCTGGAGTGTGTCTGTACAAGCTCCAGAAAGCCCCAGCTCTGCTGTTTGGAAAGAACAGAGCCTGAGCTGTGTGACACAGTGAGAGTTGCTGCTGGTCTTTACACACATGTCACTTCCCAGGAGCAAGCCTTGGAACACCCAGCTCCCTTTGACCTGGACAGACAGAGGTTTCTGTCCCAGAGCCCAGTGGACACATCCTGCAGTGTTTTCCTCAAATGGGATTCCTTGGTCTGTATCACAAGTAACTTATCAGAGCCCATGGGGCGTGTTGTTCATATTCTCCATCAGTGCTTTTCTTTAGAGTAGATGGTGCTCTAAAATAGAATATTTATGTGTAGATATAATTCTTTTCAGCTGAGAAGTGGTCTTGTAAAAATTGATTACAGATCTGTTGATGAAGGTTTGAAATGCTGCTCCACAGACTGCTTTCCATCTTCCAGAACTTTGGAAATGCGCTGAAAAAACAACAAACCAGATTTTCATATGTTAAAATTGATTCTGTGCTGGATTCAGTAATATGTGTATTAATTACTTGTGCCTTTAAGCTGTAGCTAGAGAAAAAAATACATTGACAAAATCCTGCATGTTTTGAATTAATTTTTCTGTTCTGCAAAATCTTAAACCTGTATTTAAATCTGTCCACATGATTCCAATCATGTTATGAAGCACTTCACAACTGGATTTTTAGCTGTATTCTATCCTCTGCATTTTATATGCTATTTAAATTTAAATACGAGTGGACAAGACAGTGCTGAAAAGCTGCAACTCCTGGGTCTGAAATGAGCAAATATGTGATAAATAGAGTGTAAGTGAATTACTACAGCCTTCACATTAATAGGTTATTCTTGTTCCTACCAGAAAAATGTGATTATGAACACATTTAACTGAAGGTTTTCCTGTATGACCCCTGAAGGTGTTATCCTTTTTTTTTAAAAAAAAAACCCAAAACACTGCAGAAAGTAATGAATACAAATGAAAGCTATTACCTGGGAAAAAAGAAACCAAAACAACAAAGCCTTTGCATTGAAAGATCAGAAAAGTTGGCATGTAAAATATTAGAAATATTCCAGAATACTTATGCAGTAACACATGTTGGTAGCTACCCACATCTGCATTAAATGTCATCCTCCTATCACCTTCAAAGTAGGAAAAGCTTCACATTCTGTGTCCGAATAGCTGCTCTGGATATTCCTTTTTTGCTGTTTTGTTTGTTTGTTTTCTTTTTTCTTTTCTGTCAAACACTATGCTAAATGAAATAGCTTAAATTCTGTGAAAATTTCAGACATCACTGAAACGTTCCTCACTTTCAAGGAAAGCAACCGGCTTTTAGCAAGAGTGACGACTCCAGCGGGAGCCGATTTCCACTTTGCACTCATTATTTCCACTAAGTACCTTCGCCCGGTGCCGTGCCCCCTGCTCCGAGCCCGGCTGTGCCATCCCGGCTCTCCCATCCCGGCTGTGCCATGCCAGCTGTCCCATCCCGCCTGTCCCATTCCAGCTGTCCCATCCCGCCTGTCCCATCCCGGCTCTCTCATCCCGCCTGTCCCATCCCGGCTCTCCCATCCCGCCTGTCCCATCCCGGCTCTCCCAT